TTGCAACCACCCAAAATTAAGTTTAATTTCGCATATAATTATTATCATCAACTTGTATGCGTCCACTGCTGGGAATAGGTTTTCCTTAGCTCTTTCCATTTGTCTCTGTCTTGTGCGACTTGCATCTAGTTATGCTAACACGGTTCAGGTTGTCAGTCCATCTAGTTGGTGTGCGTCCTCTGCTCCGTACTGCTTCTTGCCTTGGTCTCCACTCTGAAATACGTTTTGTCCATCGGTTGTCTAATAATCTGGCGACGTGTCCTGCCCAGTTCCATTTTTACGACGCGATTTTTTCGATGACGTCTGTTGTTTTTGTTCTACGACGTATTTCTTCGTTTGGGACTCGGTCTCTCAGAGAGACACCCAACATCTGGCGCTCCATAGCCATCTGAGTCACGCAAATCTTATTAATAACCTTTTTTGTGAGTGTTGTAATGTTTCCGCTCCATAAGTTAGTACAGGTAACACACATTGGTCAAAGAATTTCCTTTTGAGGCATATGGGTAGATCCGATTTAAATACATAGTTTAATTTACCAAACGCTCCCCATGCTAATCTTATGCGACGTGGGAACTCACATGTCTGGTTATCTCTGCACAACCGAATTTCATGTTCTAGGCACTTATACGATGTAGTCTGCATAATATCCCTTCTATCAACAGCAATATTTCGATTCAGCACCAGATTAGTCATTATTTGCGTGTTGTTCATATCAATCTTTAGTCCGACCTCCGAGGAAGCGTGATATACTTTTTCAAACATTATTATTGCATCATCCATACGATCGGCTATAAGGACGATGTCATCTGCAAATCTCAAATGACTGAGTTTCTCTCCATTCATATTGATACCATGCTCGTTCAGATGTGCCTTCTTACAAGTATGCTCTAAAAGCGTCGTAAGTAGCTTTGGAGAGACTGTGTCTCATTGCCGTACTCCTCGCAGCCAATATCAGTGTCAATGGTTTGTACTTCTCTATCAGGTTCTTTATTACTAGTAAGTGGTTGTTAGTACTGTATCTCGATCTAACTCCAGCTTGTTCTCCAGGCTGGTAGCTAATCTAATTTATCGTCCAGTCTTTTTTTGACAATTTTTATGAAAGTTTATATACGTGTGAAAGCAAACTGATATACTGCGTATATATTACGATATTAACCACAAAGAAATGCATCCCACTTTCTACAACAAGAACACCAATTGGTTTAAGATGAAGCAACAGATTTAAAAACACTATTAAAAACATTTAAAGATATTCAGTTGGCAGACAACACGAAAACTAAAAAAGGATATAAAAAATCATTCCATTCAAAGCTACCAGGATACTTGCTATGGAAAGCCACAAAGAAAACTCAAAGGTCCTCAGGTTCAATATCACCACCAAGGAAAAAGAATGGAGAGGTCAAGAAATGACTATCTGTCAAAAGTCTTTCAATCAAACAACCTGGAAACGAAATTTGAAGAATTGGAGGAACTAAATAGGGTTCTAAATGAACCTGAAAATAGGGTATATGATAGCAGCTCTTTTATGAAGCTTGTTCCTGCAATGTGGTATTTAAAAATATTGCTGCATTCCAGAATTAGTAAACAAAACATTTAGTATATTTAAGACAATCACATTTAACAACACCAAAATGCCCATTAGATTTCATTTTTTAACAATTGGGAGTAAAAATTTAATAATCCACAAGGAATCTACGTTCCTGTAGTTGGCTGTATACCATGTATTAAAAATTTAATTAAAAATCCTTTGTAATAGGTATATATTTAAGGCCCAAACGGGCTAAGTTAAAAAGACGTAACGTTTTCGGAAACCATGTTCCATCAGTTGCACTCATACAGTCCTCGAAGACATACCGTCTCAGGACTAGCAACTTCAACGTGGAGCCATATGTCGCCATGTTACCTAATCCATCGGTAACTCTATAATCTTAATAATAATTATTATGTATATCTTAATAATAATAATTATAACGTATTTTTAAAACAAAATGTAATTAAACATCTGTTAACGGGTTTTTACCCATATATTTAATCTTGGTTGCTACATTCATGTACTCCTAGACACTGATGATGGAACATGGTTTTCGAAAACGTTATGTCTTTTTAACTTAGCCCGTTTGGGCCTTAGATATATACCTATTACAAAGGATTTTTAATTAAATTTTTAAAAATTTAATGTTTAAATTTTACTCTAGAGTAAAAATTCAACATGACACCGGTTCTGATACACAATGCATTTCTTAAAATTATATTCTAAACCGCCCCTGACCCACTTTATACAGACTTCCACTGTTTCTTTTTTGTCTTTCACAACTGAAACATCGTAAAATGTGCTCGAAATGTCGTCCACTAATTATAGCAGAAAATATGAGTTGTTAGTATAACCTAATGGATCAAATATATAAAAAGCTTTTCTTAAAGATGACATTTTTATTTGCTCGTGTAACGTACATAGACGCAAAAAATTTTAGTTCTGTTAATTCATGTTTTGAAACCCTTGTTTTACTGTATTTTATGTGTGGTCTGGTTGCTCTAGTGCGTTTGTTGCAATATCTATTAGTTAACCCTTAACCACTGACGTGGATGTTTCAGGACGTAAACATTGACATGCGGTATGTCACACCGCTGCCTATGCTCCTTTGTTTTCAGTATGAATTTGTCTCATATTACTGTATTTGTTTTTTACATCAACAAGGAAATGATTCTTCACCCTCCTGTGGAATAAAATACTGGCATAATAATACAAAAAATGGTGGACGTTATTACAAAATCCTTTATAAATTGAATTACAAAAAAATTTGAGTAGGTATTGCTAATTACGAAAAATGGTAAAAGAATGTTGAAAGGCACGGACTAATAAAATAAATAAACAAAAAATAAAATAAAAAATACTGACAATAACTAAAAATTACAATAAAATAACTAGTCATTTTGAGCGCAACGTCCGCAAATTTTCTTTATACACTGTAGGCACACTGGTTTTTCACAAGAAAAGCGCACATAAAAGGTTTTTCACTTTAATGCACTTGGACATAAGAAACATAATGTCTTCTTTTTTCAAGCCTTTCTTTAAAATCTGTTTCTTTTTGGCATTTTTGTTCTAGTATTCGTTCAATGGACTGGGAACTCGGGACGCCCTCTTTGCACTAAATGTATTGTACTGCAGAAATGTCGAGATCAAAGGAAAGACGTCTTTGCTGTATTTATTGACTATGAAAAGGCCTTTGATCGAGTACAGCATTACAAATTAATTACAATATTAAAAGATAAAGAAGTTGATAGTCAAGGCATACGATTCCTAGAAAAGTTATACTGGCGTCAAACAGCGACATCTCGCATAAACGGAAAATCAACAGAAATATGTAAAATACAAAGAGGTATCAGACAGGGTTGTATACTATCCCCACTGTTATTTAATTTATATTCAGATAGAATATTTAAAGAAGTGCTGCATAATTTGGAATGGGGCGTGAAAGTTAATGGAATTCTGATAAATACAATCAGATATGCAGACGATACAGTTAATTTTAAGTGATGACATGAATGGATTAAAATGCCTTTAAATGCATTGATACAGTGGGAAGAGAGTTTGGCCTAAACATAAACTGCGCAAAAACAAAACACATGGTGTTTATCCGTTTAGCACATCAAGATGCACGATTATAGTTGATGGTCATATAATTCAAAGAGTGTCCAGTTTTAAATATCTTGGTTGCCATATTACTGAGCAACTAGATCCAGATCAAGAGATAAAATGTAGAATCGAGATAGCCCGCACGGCATTTTTAAAAATGAGGTCATTCTTCTGTAATGATAACTTGCAACTTCAACTTCGAAAGCGCATGGTTAAATGCTACATTTGGTCAGTCCTCTTATACGGTGTCGAAGTATGGACATTAAAAATATCCACCATTAATCGTCTGGAGGCCTTTGAAATGTGGCTGCACAGATGTATACTAAAAATTCCATGGACGGCTATGCTGACAAATGTGGCAGTCCTTGAGAGAGAAGCAAATGCTGCTCGCGAGCTGCTTGATAACATCAAATGTAGAAAGATGGCCTATTTTGGACACGTAGTAAGAGGAGACCGATATAATATTCTTCAACTTATTATGATGGGTAAAATCGAAGGACGAAGAGGAATTGGTAGAAAGCAGGCCTCTTGGTTGAAGAATATCAGGGAGTGGACAGGAATAAGGAAAGCTGAGCAACTCTTTAGAATAGCTCGAGACAGAGACAGTTTCGCCATATTAAGGCCAACGTCAAGGGGACGTGATAGGGCAAGTTAAGAAGAAGAACAAAAAAAAACAAAATTTGTTTAATTTACTAATGTTTATACTTTGAGAACGATTTCCGAAGTGGAAATTGAAATATCAATAAACTAACTTTAACCTTTAATTGTGGCCTATTCCCATTTAAATAGTAATTACTTTAAAATACCATAAGAAAATAGCTTCAGAACAATATTAACAAAATATATTAATGCCGTACAGAAATTTTTGATAGTAATATCCCACTTATCAGGGCGAAATAAATCTTTCTTCTCAAGAGCACATGTACGAAAATGGGGCCAAAATTTTCCGAAAATCAAATATTGTCCTTGCTATTGGTATGTACCAATATATTTGAAGGGAATTAGGTCGTAGGTCATTATTTTTGTGTTACCTACCTACCTGTGTAGTCACCTGTACCGATAAAAACTGACGGTACAGTTTCTAAAGTTATTATTACATACTATAGTATTGTTTATATGTGATTCATTCTGGGTCAAATGACACCTTAAAAATGTCCCATAGGCTTGTAGTCTATATCTGCTTATTTGCGTTTAAAACACTCGTAATTGCCCATAAATTGAAATATACCTACTACAGTGCGATTTTTAAACACCTTTTCACTTAGACTAAAGACGGATATAGTCAATAAAACATATAAAAGAGAAAAAACTGTTTTAAAATATTGTGACTAAAAGTATTGTGATTAAAATAAAATGCAATACTTACTGAAGGTTGTCATTTCCGTTTATATTTACAAATATGCCAACATAAACCGCTACAATTGACAAAAGTACACATGCTAAAGCTACTGTTGCAAATTTATTGACAAACTTTACACCAACATAGACAATCATTCCCATTATCAATAGTACTCCTGTACCATAGACTCGGAAGTTATTAAATTTTACGTCATCGTTAGATATATCGCCAAACAGTGTAAGCTGGTCGGTAATGTACAACTAGAACAAAGAATATAAATGTTAATAAACAGTCATATTAAAAACGGAAAACAGTTTTAGTTAATCTTGCAATGCAATAAAAATAAAAATTCTTTTGTCCGAACGAATAAAAATGTTTACCCTAAAAACTGATATTTTTAAAATAACTATCTCACATAATGCTGACGCTTAACGAGCTTTATATAAAGCGCGTGTTGTTCTAATTATTCAGAGTTGCAGATTATGCACTACAATTGAATGAAAACAAAAGCATATTGTTAATAGGTTTAAAATTTACCCTCGTTAAAATTGTAGATAACTTTGAAATTTTGGTTATATTTTATGAAATATCTACGTAAAATCTATATTATTTTAATAATATGTAATATAATATTTATTTGTAATTTGTAATATGTATTTTTTTTAAATAATAATATTCTCTTTAATAAATTATGAGTATGATAGAATAATTTGCTATCATTTGAGCCAATGACAAACAAGGCCAGTGCTATATTTCAACTGCCTATTTATAACTCTGGTTTTTAGCCACATATTTATTTTATTCCGTCTGAGTTGAACTGGAGTCTTTGGATATTATTAAAGATACCTCAGTATTTTTGTCGATACTAAGGTTAGATTTAGGAATTTTAGTCTATAGAAGTGAAATGAAAGACGAGAAAGATTAAAACTGTTTTAGAAGAATTTGCAACACTAAATAAATTCTTCAAAATACCACCAGCACGCTTATATACTTGGATCTCTTCGCAAGATGGGGGGCATAAAAGGAGCCTCCACGTAGATTCCCGATCACATGTGAAGGCAATCGAGCGTCCGTTCCCTGGAAACGAGTAATACCGGCTATTCCTTTCACCACCGTAACATCAACACAGATGTAAACGCAACCAAAACGGTCTTTGTTAAGGCCATTTTTGATGACTACTTCAATTAACATTAAAGGACTATCAGCAAATAAAGAAGATCTATTGTCTAATATGCGCAGAGAACACGGTGTCGATGTCCTACTGGTTCAAAAAACCCATCGAGGTACTGCAAGTCGCAGACCAAGGATTCGAGGTATGAGACTTATACTGGAGAGACCACACGACCAGTATGGTAGCGCAGTCTTCGTCAGACCAGATACCGACATAGTTTCCACATCTTTAACACATCGAGTGACATCGAGATCCTTACAGTGAAACTAAAGTCTAGTACGGTAACGTCCATCTACAAACCGCCAAATGCTGACTTGGTTTTTGAGGAACCAGATAACTTTCAATCACAGCAAATAAAATTCATACTGGGTAACTTCAACTGTCACAGTATTGCGCGAAAGGTATAACGAAACAGATTCCAATGGCCTCAAACTTAGTCAAATTCAAACAGCGTCTTTCAACAGCGGAAAATGGCGCAGAGGTTACAACCCAGACAATATATTTGTCAGCGACAGGAGTGGAGACCAGGTGACAAAAATTGTTGGAAGCGCCCTCCCAAAAACACAGCACAGACCAATAACCTTGCTATTGCCATTTAAACGCGGCAATCAGATACGAAATTGTTCCTTTCAAGAGAAGGTTCAATTTCACTAAAGCAAAATAGAAAAAATTCGCCGAAGCATTAGATCAAGAAGTTTCCCAGCTAGAACCGTGCTCTGATTCATACGATAAATTTGTACAAATCGTAAAACAAATATTACGAAAATATATTCCTAGAGTTTGTCGAACCGAATACATAGCGGGGCTAAATGAAGAATTTAAACCCCTATTTAAAAGATACGAGCAGCTATATGAAGACGATCCCTTTTTTGAAGTAACAATACAGGTCAGGGAGAAAGTGCTACATGCGATATCCCCCAACAAAACGGACAGGTGGTGCAAGCAGGTCACGAGTCTAGACATGAAAAAAAAAAAAATAGCAGACGCGCTTGGAAATTAATTCGGAATCTTGGCAACAATCTCGCTGCCCCGGCACCCAATCTGACAAAAGTCACACCCCGATCAGATAGCTGATCGTCTCCTGACGAATGGTAAGACGACATCAAGGAAGAAAGAAGTGAGAGTACAACGAAATATCGACGAAGAAGAGGATGTTCTAGGTACCTCCTTTTGTCTGGAGGGGATGAGAGGTGCGATTCACCAAATGAAAGATAATAAAGCGGCTGGCCTAGACGATATAAACAGAACAAATAAAGCACTTTGAACCAAAAACCCTACAGTGGCTCATAAAAATGATGCACTGTTTTGTCCGTACATTATAAATCACCACAATCTGGAGGAAAGCTAGAGTGGTGGCTCTCTTAAAACCAGGAAAGGATCCGGCGGATACAAAGAGTTCTAGACCTGTCTCTCTTTTGTGTCACCTTTTCTTTTTCGAAAGAATGATACTGAACTGGATCGCTGAATCTGTGGACACTAAAATTTTCCTAAACAAGCAGGGTTTAGACCCGGAAAATGCTGCTACAGTCAAACTCTTAATCTCACCCAACAAATTGAAGATGGGTTTGAATGGAAAGAAATAACAGGAGTAGCGTTCATAGACCTAACTGTCGCCTATGACACAGTTAACCATCAACGGCTGCTGGTAAAACTCTATGAAATTACGAAGGATTTACGACTAACGAGGCTAATAAAATGTCGTCTCCAGTATGGATGCTTCTACGTAACGCTCCAGTCCAAGAACAGTCAGTGGAGGGATCACAAATAGTGGACTCCCACAGGGCAGTGTTCTCGCGCCGATGCTGTACAATATTTACACCAACGATCAAACCCAAAAACCAACAAACAAGACAGTTTATTTACGCGTATGATACAGCTGTGGCAGCTCAGGAAAGTAACTTTATTGAAGTCGAAGTAAAACTGACAGATGCCCCAGAAGGCTTAGCACTATAATATAACAAAAACCATCTGAAACCATATCCTACAAAAACCCAGGTGTGTGCTTTCCACCTTAGAAACAAGTATGTCCGAAGGACACTTGAGGTGGAATGGCGTGGTTAGATGCTGGAACACAATGATACGCCAAAATGCCTCGGTATACGTCTGGATAAAACTCTGTCTTCGATATCACTGTCAAGATGTCAAGAAAAAGTAAGCGCCAGAAATAATATCATCCGCAATCTAACAAATACAAAATGGGGAGCATAACCACACACTCTCCTGCACTTCTGCCTTAGCATTCTGCGGCCGAGTTTGGAGCACGAGTGTGGGAAAACTCTGCTCACGCTAAAAACGTCGATGTTGCGTTAAATGAAATGCTTCGTATAATATCTGGTTGCCTGAAACCGACGCCTATCGAAGAGGTCTACCCTATAGTTAGAATCGCTCCACCTGCTATCAGAAGACAGGCCACGTCAGAGATAGAACGAAAAAATCAGGAGACGGATCGAAGACACACCTTGTATGACCACCAAGTTCAGCCAAGTATTCTAAGATCTCGGAAAAGCTTTCTGTAAAAATCACGATCCCTTCCCGAAGAGCCAAAGACACGCCGAATACACCTATGGCAAGCGTCTGCTACAACACATTTTGCCCTTTCAGAGGAAATGGCCGCTGGATACAATATACCGTATCCCACATAGAAAGCGCTAAGCAGACTAAGAACTGGCGTTTCACGCTGTGTTAGTAACCTGAAGAAATGGGGATACCAGGAGGACGATACCTGCGACTATGGCGCGGTTCAAAATAGTCACCATATACTATCATGCACAGCGATGAGAGAAACCTGCACAGACGAAGACCTATTTTTAGCGAATGACAAGGCCATCTATGTGGCCAACCATTGGAAATACAAAATTTAAAACTGTTGGTGTTCCGGTTACGGGAAGTAAGTAAGTAGTTCACAAGATCAATCAGAAAACGTAATACGGAATCAAATTGATTACGTAATGATAAACAAGACATTTCATAATGGATACCTATCAGTTAAAAGTTACAAACATATTCAGAGACAAATTAGAACCGAAATACGAAGGCCAAATAAAATTGGTTAAAATCATATTGTGAAGAGATACAGTTGTTCAAACAAAAATATATGTTTAATATGCATAAAAATACGAGCTTGGCGGAGGAAGGCGATGGATATGGACGACTGGAGAGCAATTCTTGAGGAAGCTAGGACCCACGTAAGGTTATACAGTCAGAATGATGACAATAAAGGTTAAACAAGCAGCTGGTCTTCAGAAATTCAACACAATTAACAAACTACGAGAGCAACAGAGGAACATCATCACAGATAAAAATCAAGAAATTTGCATATGGACCAAATACATATAATAACTCTTTGATGATAACTGGTTTTAACAACCTCATATACATATGTAATGACCGTTACCATCACTTCAGATGAAGGGAAAAAGCAATATCAAAAAAGTTGCAAGTTCATATAAGTACATATCCTGAACTCATAAAACTATTTTACTCAACGCCTAACAAACATTTTTAATGACATATATTTAAGAGGAGAACATGACTAAAGTCGACGTTTATTACTTAACCAAAGAAAACAAAATTCGTATCCTGCAGTGATTTTCGGACCATCAGCTTAATGAGCAATCTTTTAAAGTTATTTCTAAAAATCATACATCAAAGTATATATAGACTCTGCGAAAAAAATCAGCCATACATAGTTTATTTTCGCAATGTAGTGTTTTGGAATAAGGCGTTTGATACGGTAAAGCACGACAAGCTGATGGAGATACTAAGAAATATTGGAATAAACACATGTGATCTAAGAATTATTAGCAATCTTTATTGGAATCAAACATCGTCTATCCGATGTCTATCCAGGAGAATCCCATGATATTAAAATCAAATTTTGGGTCTGACAGAGATATATACTATCAATCCTGCTGTTTAACTATACTCTGAGGTAATATTTCAAGAAGCAATATAGGATGTTGAAGCCGGAATTCGAATTAACGGAGAATGTATCCATAATATTAGATACGCGGACGACACGGTGATATTTTGGTGACTAGACAGTCAATTTTTTTGTTTCGTTTACATATATAAATTTATTAGCATGTT